ATTGGCTAATGCAGAATGGTTTCAATACCAGTCACAGTATAACTCAAGTCTCATTAGTAGACAAAATTTGAATTTCACTAACCTTTATCTTTTCTGAATTTCATAACATGAACCACAATGTTGAAATAAAGAAAGAGAATGGAAACAAAATGATTAAGAATTATATTACAGAGGAGAATAAAAGAACTATTAAAATTAAAACCATGTCAAAGCCAAAGTATCAGTATAAATACGTAGTACAAGAAATATATTTTGGCATTCGCTGTCCAATATCTATGACAGGTGAGCTGCATCTTCCACAGCACTTAGTTAACAACACGTTACCACAGCTACACCAACCCCCTACAGACCCCTCTTAACACATTTATCTCGGCACTCTAGTGTCATAGGTGCTTTACTCACAGGTGGTTTGAATGTGGTATAGAAAGAAACTTAACTAAACTTCATTTCCACTGTGAGAAAAAAATGCTGGTTTTCTTTAATTTAAGAGAATGTTCTCTATTTATTTATTTATTTATTTATTTATTTATTTATTTTTATAGAGTGTCACTCTGTCTCCCATGTTGGAGTGCAATGGTGGCATCATAGTTCACTGCAGTCTCGATCTCCTGAGCTCAAGCAATCCTCCCGCCTCAGCTTCCCAAGCAGCTGGGACTAGAGGCACAAGCCACCACGTCTGGCTAAAATTTTTTAAAATTTTTTGTAGAGATAAGGTTTTGCTATGTTGCCCCGACTGATCTGGAACTCCTGGACTCAAGCAATCCTCCAACCTTGGCTTCCCAAAGTGCTAGGATTATAGGCATAAGTCACTGTACCCAGTCGGATGTTCTCTACAATAAAAAATATTCATCTATGAGTTAAAAGCTGCCTATTTTCCCTAAATTTTGTAGGGTTTTCGGGTACCACAGATATGTCCAGTGAAAGTTTTGAGTTCTATTTCCCTGATTCATAGGTCTAATAGTAAGACTTTCACCTTGAAGTGACAAAAGGTGCAATGAATGTCCATGGGTAGTAATAACATCCTGAGACAAAGTTGCGCTGAATATGCCAAAGTTGCGTTGAACATGCCAGAGTCTGACCTCTGTGAGGTCGGAAAGATGTCTAAAGCTCTGTGGGAATAATGCCTGCCGAAATTAGTTCAGTGCTTCACTGAGGCTACTCTCAGAAAATGGCTCTGAAATGAGATGTGGCATGTCAGACTTTGAAATCATGCAATTAAGGTTTATTTAAAAGTGGTACCTGAAAAGAATGTGCTAAAAGCATAAGATCAAGTGTTTCTTTTTATGTATAGATTACACCTATCTAATAAGTATATACAGTATTATAAAACAAGCAAAACTGAAAGTATCTTTCCAAAAAAAAAAATGTACTTAAAGGCTCTTGGATGACTAGATGAATTAGTGACACAGTAACGAATCACTTCTTTAAAAAAAATTTATTTCACATAGTTTTTGATGGGTCTGTATTCATACTTTTCACTTTCTCTTTAATTTCATCTAGGAAAATCAAGAAGATTACAAACATAAAACCATGGAGCAAACACCTTGAGGGCAGAAGCCTGGAGAAAAACTAATGATGAAAGACAGCCAGAGCAGTGGAGTGAGGAAAGTAGACAATGACTGAGATTTTGCAAACCAAAGCTCATCCACAGATACTAGCTTGAAAAGGATATGTTTGCTCCAAGTAAATTTCCCAATTTGAGTTTTTATTTTCCCACTCCGGACAGTAGTTCAGAGGAAATGGAAATAAGATAATGAAAAGCTTTTTATATGTTTCTTTAACTTTTAGGAGGAGCTAATGTACCATCTATTTGATGACCTCCCAGTCAAGCCTTAGTCATGAGCATGTAGATTGTCTTCAGCAGATGTGTTTTCCCAATGCCATCCTCTTTTAACACCCTCGTTAGTTCACTGCCTCATAACCTCCATTGTCTGATAGCTGGTGGAAGCAGAAAAAAACATAAAAGGGCAAAAAAAGACAATTGGTTTCAGTAGAAAGTGCACCAGATCTGGGAAACAGGGATCTCTACCCTATGATATGCTGAAGCAGGCTTATATGGACTCGGAGTTAGAATTGGTTTTGTTAGATTTTAGGAATTTTGTGAGCTAGTTGTTAAATACAGCCATTATTAAAAAATAAATTATGCAAACTTAAATGTAGAGAAATCCTACTAAAAGCCAAGATACTGAATAGTTAACAGTTATTCCTTCCAAATTATTTTGCTGTGTTTTACTTTACCAATGCTTTTGAGGTTATGCCTATCTTATGTATATGATGGAAATGCTATATAAAGGTAAACTTGAAATTGGTCAAGATGGAAGTATCTACACCAAAGAATTTGGCAAACCCCACAAATCAGTGGTTGCTTACTGTTTTGTTGATTGTCTAGGCTTTTTAAATAATGGAGAAATATTTTAAGTAATGCATATTAAACCTAAAAGTGTGTCATGTCTATAGACATTACATTGTCAATAGCATGAAAGAAACTGAGGAAATAATTTTTAAGTATTTAAAAACTATTATCCAGTTCTGCCAAGAATCTGTTCATGTAATTGATGAAGTAAAGTTCTAATATTTTCTTCCAATTTTCACTTTCCTCTTCTTAAAGCAAACAAAAATATTCACCAGCATTCATGTCAGATCTATAAAACCAAGAGTTTGTCAAACTCAGCAAAAAGATTCTGCCAAAATTAAATGGCTGTATGGAATTCACACTAAAGACTATTACATATTTTACTACTGCTAATCATTTGTCAGCTGAGAGTTACACATCTTTTACATAAAGAAGATATCTTGTATGATATTACAATGTAATATATACATATGTTTTGTTTTGGTTACAATTCAGTTGTTAAATGCTTACCATCACCCCAATATTTCTACCATCCAAAAACTACTGATTATGGATAAATTGTTTAACTCTGTGAATATCAACTTCCTCACCTGCAAACAAATGAAATGAGTATCTACCTCACAGGATAGTTTTAAAAGTCAAAAGAAATGTTTATGTCAAAACCCTGTATGGATTGCAAATGTTATGTATTATCAGAAATTCAGCAAATATGTTTTAGCTCCTAATATGAGCTCTAACAACTTGCAGAGTTTGCAAAGGTCACTAATACTATGGTCCCTACCCTCAAGTTGCTTACAATCTAGTGGTGAGAAATATGTGTTAATAACCTAAAATTATTTAAGAGTGTATCAAATGTTTTATAACAGAGGAAAAAGTGAAGTGCTATGAGATTATAGGAATATAAGGGATTTTACCTGGAGCACCAAGGAAGACTACATTAAAAAATGGAATTTTAAGATAAGCTTTGACAAATAAGTTGCATTTGTATCAACTGAGAAAGTGGAAAGAGGGGCATGCTTGGCTGATGGATGAAATCTCAAAAACATTATCATCACAATGCCTGTTAAGAAAATCATAATCACATTGATAAATCTGCTACATAAAAACCTTACTTGTTATTTCCATGTAAAATAGAAATTATGCATTATAGATTATGCAATCCAGCGTGCCTATCCATAATCTTACATTGAATCAACAGTTGACTCAATGTTTAGTCAGTTTTTCCAACTTACAAACCATGTCCCTTTCTAAAAACCAGAGTACAAATCAAACTCCTGCCTTCTTAGTGAAAGAAAAATTCATATTGTGAATTTTTAAAATTATTTTTCAAGAAAACTATAAAATATATTTCATTCAAGTATTTCACACGACAGAAGGCACTATCCATTAGACTTAAAAAGTGGTCACTGATTTCAAACCTACGAATACATAAATTACGCATGCATTATGTGAACAATGAAGGGCACATCCAAAGTGAGGTTTTCATGGGAGACTGGAACACTGAGGCAAGAGAAAAGTGAAAACATTCTAAAACCTTCATGTAAACAAGGACTAACTACTAAAAAGCACGATTTTATCTCTCAGTTAATAAGTCTTGCAGGGATGACATTACTAAGTAAAGTTCATTGCAAGCTTTTTCCTCTCGCTTGTCAAAATATGCTAGGTTTATATTTGTGACTCGAAAAAAACATACAATGCTTCGAAGAAAGCTTGACAGAGCACTCAGAATCTGTCTCAAGTATAACGCAAGGGAGATGTCTATTAATCTCTCACACACACAGGTTTGACTCAAAGGGTCTGTGGCCTTGACCTCAAGTGACCATGGAATAGACCACAGGGCCAGTCCAGGATCCAAAGGGATTAAGAGGAGCATTTGCTCTGCTCTGAAAGGCCCTTTTTTCTCCACTCTAGTTTCTAACTTCCCATTACACACACTCCCTCTGCAAGGCACCGCGCCAGTGGAGCCGGTTCACTCTGTTCTCTCCTTGATGACAGCTGTCAGTCTGTCACCGCCTGAACATGCAACTTTTCAACAAAATCCAAAGCGGAATTGGAAGGGCAGGGGCTGAAGCACACAGCCTGATCTCCTTCCTGGAGGTCCCAGACTCCTTAACCATCACCTTTCAACCTGACGAAGGTAAGAACCACCTCACTCTTCACTAACAGAGTTGAAGAAGCTTCTGTCTCCTCAGAACCTGGGCATTCACACACATTGTGTAATTAAGCAACATTCCTGGATATCATCCTAAGAAGATAGAGCCCGGAAGTCCCCGTGTAACTTCATCACGAACTCGGAGGGTGCTAAAGCCAGGTGTCGGATCAAGGGGCAGGGAAATCTCTCACTCCCCCAGCGCCTGGACAGCAACCCCTGGACCGCGTGGCGACGCCCGGCGGGAGCGCGGCGAACCCCAGCGCGCGGGACCGGGGGTGAGACCGCGCCCTCCCGCAGGGCAGGGGCGACCCAGCGAGTGCCCGCGGCTGGAGAGCAGTGCGAGCCCAGCCGGGCAGCGAGGAGGCTGGGAGCCGGGCGGAGCGCCTTGCTCACCCTTTCGCCCCTTGCCTGGAGCTGCGAAACCGCAGAGGGAGCCGGAGAGGCCGGTCCTAGAGCAGGGACCTGTCCTGGGGCAGGGGCGCGCGGGGCACTCACCAACTGCAGCGCGCAGAGGCAGATGAGCGAGCAGCGTCCGGTGCAGCAGCCCATGGTGCCGGCAGCGTCCGAGCGGCGCTGACTGCCAGAGATTCGCGTCCTCCGCAGCTGCTGCCTCCTGACTCCGGAGTAGTCCCCGCCCGGCCCGGCCCAGGCTCCCTGGCCCCGCGGCCGCAGCTCGCCGCTCCTGGGCTCCGGGCTCGCGCCCGCCTTTGTTAGTTTCCTGGCGGGGCGGGCCGAGGTCAGTGCGGCGTGCACTACCCGAGCGTCTGGCGGGGGTCCCTGCGTCCCACTGTGCAGGTCTGCTTCTTGGGGAGGGGGAGCCAGGCAGGCGGGGCGGGGGGCGGAAGGAGGCTACAGATGGCTAGTGGGTGAATGTCTGTTTAGGGGAGGGGAGTATGTAGGAGGTGGGCGTCTGGAAAGTGGAGTGGGCTGTCTGGGTCCGGGTGTGTGTGTGTGTGTGTGTGTGTGTGTGTGTGTGGTGGGAGGGGAAGAATGAAAGGGAGTGCCGCTGGGGAGGATCGGCCTGTCTAGTTAGGAGTCTTTGGGGAGAAAGGAAGAGGGACAGAGAGAAAAGAGAATGAATATGAATGAGCGTGAATTAGGGTGGCCGGCGGCGATGGAGACCCTCGTTGACCGGTGTAACTGGGTAGACCCAGCTGGGCTTTCTCGCTGAGGGTTGTGCTGGGGATTGGGAGGGTGGTCGGACGCGTTTGCAACGGAAGGGACACGGCTTAGTTGAGCTGCCCCAGAGGTGGCGAGGATGGGAGTTGGGATGGCTTGGGGTCAGGGGAGGAAGGGTCGGGGCGCGAGACACCCAGGATGGGCGGGCGCGGCGGAGCTCAAGGCCGAGCTCCGGAACCTGCCCGTCTGCTAGGGGGCCGGCGGGCGCTGCGCGGGTGAGTCTGTTCAGCCGGCGTTGAGCTCTCAGGTCGGGGATCTCCGAGCCGAGGTCGCTTCTGCCTGCCGCAGCCGGTTGCCTGGAGGACGTCCCTGCTGGAGTCTGAAAGGGAAAGTTGGACAGAGTTGGTTGGCAAGGGGCGCTGCGGCTGAGAGGTGCTCTGGCCCAGGGCGCCGGGACTAGCCAGGACGCCGCGGGGAGACCTGGCTTAGGGTTCTCAACTCACAGACCCTTTGAAATCCTCACCGGGAGGCAGACAAGAGAAGTCGAGAAAGAAGAAGATGCGTAGCTTTTTCTAGAAATGGGGAAGGTTTCCGGAATGGGCATAAATATGTCTTCGTAGAAATAAATTGTTTGAGAAGGATTTGCAAATCAGATCTCGGATAATTAAGATACAGACAAACTCTGTGAATCCTGTGGAAACTCTCCTGCTCTCTCCCACTTAATAAAACAGAGAGGAGGCGTTCTGCAGAGGATTACATTTCATCAGGGCTCAAAGTCAGATTTTATGGGCGCATTTGTTGTACCTGGTGGAACTGCGCAAGGAGCTCAAAAGCACACCAGAACAGGGAACAGGCCTGCAGGCCAATTATCTCGGAAAAGCCTGTCTTCAGAATGTGGCACAGAAACCCTGTTTCTAGCCCACTGCTGCCCTCCTGGGTTCTTGGCGGTAGGTTGGTAAGAAAAGGCAAGACATCTTTGCATTTTTAATACTTCCACTCTAGACATGGAAACTGCTCAAGCCCTTAGTTTGGGCATTAAAAGCAGTCCTATTTTTATTTTTATCCTCTTTCTGAAACGTTTCTTCAGGATCTATGTTTATAATTTAAGACGGTTATCATTCCCAAGGAAGTCTGCACATCTTTGAAATTCTAGTAGGGACACACGAATAACTTCAGGATTTGCGTTAATAAAAGGGTCAAGAACATTCATTGTTTACATGCCACCTCTGTTATTATCGTGGAGAACGGAGAAGTCGAGTCAGAACTCCCCGTCCTTTTTTAACCCAAGCTTTAAGACATCAGTGATCAAGGATCATGTGAGCACCCTGCCTTTATGCACAATCCTCATACTTGTCATCATTCTTGATGGATGAAAACAATAGGAAAAAATGAACACTGAAAAATAAGTAGTTTAGCATATAGAAAAGGACATTGCAGAACATCTCAGGCCATTGACCCTCTAAAAGCTGTAGGAAGCAGCTGAAAAGTGAGAAGCCATGAACAAGTCTTCTATCTATAACTTCCAGAAACTGTTGTAACCTCTTCATCTCCAGAGACTGTGATGAATGATGGTAATAAAAATACTGACACTTTCTTCTCTCCAAATCACATATGTTTACCCAAGTATACTTTGTCATGATTTTATTGATTTAGGAAGTACCATATTAGCAGCTAACCTGCACTGGGTCCTTGCCAGGTGCCGTACACCCATCTAAGTGCTTTATATGTGTTCACTCATTTAATGATGACTGCACCCTCATGGGGTGGGTGCTGTGAACATCACCACTGAAAAGATAGGGAAACAGGAGGAAGGGCTCCCCTGGCTGCTAAACCAGGAAGAGGAATGCAAAGCCAAAGAATTTGACTCTAGAGCTCCTAGATTTACATATTCCCTATGCTGCCTCTGAAACTTGGGACACAAATAGCAGTTACCCACAGGGAAGCTAACTGTTCCCTCATAACTAGGTGTAATAATGTACATTGATCTAACATTCAGAGTTAGTATCACCCATGTGGTATGATTTTAGGAGATCAGGAGGGTGCCTTGTACCTCTCCCTTTCCCATTGCCGCCTTTACTGATAGCCTCAAATTGGAGTTTCTTCCTTGTGTAATTTAAGACCGTTGAAAAATGCATTTGTACTAAATGCATTTAAACAAGAAACAAAGATAACACAATGCTAATAAGAAGTCTAGAAATTGTGTGAAGCTACCTTTATTTCTCTCTGCAATCTCTTCTCATTTTCTAAATTGTATTACATCCTGAACTAAAAATCTTTCTCCCTTCCTTTTTTTCCTTCCTTTCTCCATCCTTCCCTCAAATACTTCTTACTAGTTCACTTCTTAATTGCTTCTATGCAAAGGGCTGTGCTAGTTGCCTGCTCGGCAAAGGTAAATGGTATCACGCCCTCTCTTCCCCTCGAGGGCTTACAGGTGGGAAGGGAGAGCAGATGCAGGCATAAAGTAGCACTCCCTCTGAAAGAGGTTAGTGCCAACTGGTTTCATTAAGTTTTCTTCCTGTGAGAGTTAGAGAAGGTTTAAAAGAGGAATTACCAGTCTCTTGGGGAGAGGAAATGAGACTAGAAAATGACAGAGCAATGGAAAGGATGGGACCTGAACAGGAGTTTGGTAAAACCAACTGGAGAGGAAATAATCTAAGTAGAACAGCCCATCCGATATATGGCTGTTAATACTGCTTCTTGGCCGTAGAATCTCAGGGAAGCCATTTTGCTCCCCTGTGAGCCCTATTTTCCCCATACTTAAAGTGGGTGTGACAAAAATGACTGCCCCAGAGGGCTAAGCCTTAGCCTTTTCCCCTTGCTTGTCTCTGTGGAGTTTACAGCCTTGACTCATGCAGGTCTCAGCCTCATGTCACATCCCATGGAGGCCTTTACTTAACAGGCCTCCTAAAATAATACTCCAGTCACTCTATTTTTCTTCCAACTAATTGTTTGCATACTGTATGATTTCCTGTCTCCCCAACTCAAATACAAACCTGTTTTCCCAGTGCTTATAACAGTAGTTAAATTCAATATTTGTTGCAGGAAGAACAATGATGGGTGTACATTTTTAGCATAATACTTCACACATCATGTTGAACATATATGTATACATGCACATATATAGTATGTAGTGAGTATTAAACATATGCATACACACACACACACACACACTCTTCTTAAAGCCATTTGAGTCTATGTGTTTGTTTTGTTTTGTTTTTGTCTTATGTCCATCTCTTCTATGCCTTTATTTCTTGGTGAAATTCCTTTTGAGAAACTTCAGTCCTATCTCCCTTAAGGGAAGAGTGAGTTGTCCAAACTAACAGATAACCTGGGGGAGACAGCACATCCAGAGGCCAGATCTACAAGTGCAGATTTCCAGATTCCCAGCTTCTGGGGATTCACTTTCAAATACTGGCTGTGGGACACCAGCTTTAAGTTTCTTCTTAAATTAAGATTATTTTGAATTAAAATTACTCCTTAATTATTGCACTGTTTTTTATTTGTTTAATTGTTTGTATAAGCCTCCCAGTTCTGCATTTTTACTGAGTTGAAGAGTTTATTGCCTGATTAAGCATTCTACCTCCATTGTGAAAAGTTCTTCAAAGTATTAGTAAATATATGTGTTTCCTCTGATGCCCACTTAATTGTGACAACCTCATTGGGGCCTTCATGGAGCAAGCAAATTATAATTCTCTTCATGATTCTCTTCATCACTTCGTGATTATCTGACAGATATTTCAAAGCAGTATGCCAGCTCAGGTGGAGTGAAGATAAGGTTTACACTGGAGCAAAATGTGGACACACATGTATGGCGAGTTTGAAGCATGCCTGGGAAGGGCCGCAGAACATAAGTGTGCCTTTGCATGGCTGTTGAGACAATCCTTCTTGTTAGAATTGGTTCACTTATTATGCGTAGCAATGGATGTATGAATGTTGGGGGCATACAAGAGGGAAAAATGATAACAGTTATATTTTTTATATTTTCTTACTCTCTAAAAATATATTTCTTGATATTTTAAGCACTTTACATATGAACATTTAAAAATGCCCCCCAGATGGCTGTTTAATTGACAGATAAGAAAGAAATTAGAGATGGACATAGGTGTGGGGGTGTTTCTAAGGTCACTGGAAAGCTTGTAGAGTAGGAGAAATCAAAGAAGAAAGGATAAGAAAAGTTATTTGGTATATTTTGATTGAATAAATATTACTTATAATTAGTTCTGCAATTGGAAAGATATAGCCAAGCACCTTTTTTCCATTTCTGTTTTGTTTAAAAATAAGCCTCAATTAACATTAACTCTATCAGTGGCCTAAAAACACTGATCTGGTTATCATAATTAGTACGGTAGTGATACAGATTTAGTGTTTTTCTCTCTCTCTCTTTTTTTTTTTTTTTTTTTTAGATGGAGTTTCACTCTTTTTGCCCAGGCTGGAGTGCAATGGTGCGATCTCAGCTCACTCCAACCTCCGCCATCCGGGTCCAAGCGATTCTCCTGCCTCAGTCTCCTGAGTAGCTGGGATCACAGGCATGCACCACCACTCCCAGCTAATTTTTGTATTTTTAGTAGAGACGGCGTTTCACCATGTTGGCCAGGCTGGTCTCAAACTCCTAACCTATGGTGATCCATCCGCCTCAGCCTCCCAAAGTGCAGGGATTACAGGGGCGAGCCACTGCGCCTGGCCCATTTAGTGTTTTTTTAATGTCATTCAGTGAGCAGCCCCCACCTACACCGGCAAGTTCAAGAATTCCTCACTGCTTAATTTACTGCTGAGTATTGGCAACCACTGGGATTTCTCTATAACGTACATGCATATTGTGTACCTTCGGAGCCACATGTCAGAGTCCTCATATCAGAGATACAAACAATTCATTACAACCATTA